GGTCTAAATTTAGTTTGCACGAAAGTTGTAAACAACACCATATAAGGATAGACATTCCATATTTGGACAAACGAACGTTACGGGGCAGATATTCAAATTCATTAGTCATCGATGCAGGCTCTCAATTCAGCTTGAGAGCCTGTTCGCAGGCTAACAATTGTAGGTTTATATCCTCACTGGAGTCTGTAGAGGTGCCCTTTGGTGTGCGTTTGCCCCCCTTGCCTTTTTATCGTTCCGGCGTCCCTGAGTATATAGTATATAGTATATAGTATATAGTATATAGTACATAGTATATAGTATATAGTATAGAGTATATAGTATATAGTATATAGTATATAGTATATAGTATATAGTATATAGTATATAGTATATAGTATATAGTATATAGTATATAGTATATAGTATATAGTATATAGTATATAGTATATAGTATATAGTATATAGTATATAGTATATAGTATATAGTATAGTATAGTATAGTATAGTACTAGAAAATGCAGAAATCCTCGCCTTGCTGACAAAACCATTGTATTTTCCGAACATGAAATACCTAAAGTAGTCAGTCATCGTAACACGATGATTTTTTAAGAATATTCTTACAAATGAAAAATCGTCTAAAAATATCACATTTAATTACAAAATTATCAATTTCCCAACATATATATGTTAGGTATGTTATTATACGTAATATAAGCTTCAATTGAAGGTAAAATTCAACCTCAAACGCTTCGCAAAACGTTTGGAAGTGTTCTTTATAAAACTAAACTACCTTTAATTAAATAGCTTATCGATAAACTTTGAGTTTGCAATAACAATGATTTCAAATTCTCGCTTGCAAATAACTTTGCTTTCTTTTTTATTTAAAATATTCAATATACTATAAAAAAGGGAATTCGCAGCAGAATATCACGACATTTTGACGATTGCTTCCCCCTCAATACAAGTAGGCGCAATCCCTCTGGAAAACCGAGATCACCTTGGATTACCAAAGGTTTACTACAATCAGTGACATAACCGTTCCGGACTCTTCAATGTTTGTCATCATTTTTTTCAAAATTGATTAAAAACAGCGCCTCGTCCCCCGCTCCCCTCTTCAATGTTGATTAATGGCAAGTTTGTATAAGTAAAAAGCCCTAAGAACGCCAACAAGTAATATATTTGGCCCTATGTTTTTATATTATATTCAACATTGAAAGGGGGAGGGGGGTGCGCATATCAGAGAATTATATGTAATGTCTGGAAGGTTTTGTCACTGATTGTCTGAGTTGTTTTTGTGGGAATTGCTTTGTTAAATCAGGTTAAATTATCAATAAAGTTAACGTTTTTTTATAAAAATGCATTTCTTTGTGTTAAATTACTTCTCTTTCCTATACTTTTGATAAAGTATTAGTTAGAAGGAATTCAATAGTATATTACGTCATATTATGGAAGGTGATAATTTATGTGGCAACGCATGCAACGTACTATAATTATCGTACGATGCTATATTATTGTAATGAGTGATTTCATATAGCTACACAATATATGAATATATTCAGCATTAGGATATCAGTGCTTAGGAAAATGGATTCCAGTTCAACTGCTGATATCGAGCTAAACAGCAGAGATTTGCGAAGGGTTTATCTTATTTCATATATTATATTAATTCAGGTTAGCACATGCTAGTACCACATGCTACCACACCGGCGCTACCAAACGCTACCACTATCAGTGAGTAAAGTACACTATAAACTATCATTATATGTATTCAATGCATGGTAGCATGTGGTAGCATGTGGTAGCGTATGGTAGCGTGTTGTAATTTCCCTGTATATTAAATATTTTTCGTGTCGGCGTTTTTTCTTGCAAGTTAACATATTGTTTAGTTTTGCATGTAAGGCGAGACTTTTTTTATTCATTGGTTTACAGATCCGCCGACCGTAAATATTCGGAAAGTGAAAAATTAAAAAAAAAATTGGATGTCAAATATTTTACAATTTTAGTTAATTTTAACTAATTTGGGGTTCTGACATGAAGTACACTTCAAGTGAACTTCGACTCTAGGTACTGTTGGCTCACGTTATCGTTGTGACAATCGTATCAATATGGAGATTAGCCACGCTTTTTGCGGTTTTTTGAAATTGACGTTAAAATTTTTTATAAAGATTATTAATTTCGGTTCTCATTTGTACTCAGTTCGGTTTTTTAAATTTTTTTTTCCGACCTACCGACCTCTTATTTTTAAAGTCAAATCAGTAAACCAATAAATAAAAAAGTCTCGCCTAAGGCAACAAAAACAAAATTGTATTTTAATAATTTGGTTAAGTCGATATTACTCACGTAGAACAGACGATGTTGACAATGTTGTAGTAAAAAATCATTTCAATATATTGTATATAGACTGAAGAGCATTAAATTAATACAATTTAGCCTTTATAACTAATAATACATCTTTATGACGTCATCTAATTAACATTTCTACTTATATTTTGGAATAAATTGTCCCCGCTCCCCTCCTCAATGTTGATTAATGGCAAGTTTGTAGAAGTAAAGAGCCCTAAGAACGCCAGCGAGTAATATATTTGGCCCTATGTTTTTATATTCAACATTGAAAGGGGGGGGGGTGCGCATTTCAGAGAATTATATGTAATGTCAGGAAGGTTTTGTCACTGATTGTAGCTTCTGTTAGGAAAAAGAACAAACTGTACAAAAAATATCTCGGAATTCCTACCCCAGCGCGTGGTTCTCATTATAAGAGGTACAAAAACAAATTAAACCACTTAATTAGAATAGCGAAGAAACATTATTATGGCAAAATCTTTGAATTAGCTAAAAGTGACATGAAAAAAACATGGCAATTAATTAATGAGGTTACAAATCTTAAAACCAAGAAGGCTTCATTACCATCAATATTTAGATCTAATGATATAATGATTAGCCACCCTATTGCAATTGCCAACGACTTTTGCAAATATTTCACTGAAATTGGCCCATCAATAGCCAGGAAGATTATTCCAACACATTGTTCATTGCACGATTACTTAGGACCGACCGCTAGCGAAACAATATTTCTTAAGCCAACCACCGCTAATGAACAAAAAAAGATTTGCATGCCCTTTAAGACTGGAAAAGCACCTGGTTATGATCACATACCCATGAATCTTATTAAAAGGTCGTTTGAACTAATAACCGAACCATTAAAGGATTTAATTAATGTGTCTCTTGAAACAGGGATATTTCCAGATCAACTAAAAGTAGCCAAAATAATTCCCATTTTCGAGACTGGCGAAGCAGATATATTCACAAATTATAGGCCAATTTCCATCCTATCATGCTTTTCAAAAATTTATGAAAGAATCCTGTATAATCGTTTCGTAGAATTTATTGATAAGCTTGAAATTCTTTATTAATATCAATTTGGCTTTCGCTCAAATTATTCCACCAATTTTGCTCCTACTCATCTGATAAATAAAATTGCAACTGCTATTGGCAGAAAAGAAATAACTGTTGGCGTTTTCTTAGATTTGTCTAAAGCGTTTGACACTCTTAATCATGATATTCTGTTTTCTAAGCTTGAACGTTATGGAATCCGTGGATTAGCGTTAAATTGGATTAAGAGCTATTTTAAGAATCGGAAACAATTTGTCCAGTTTAATAATGTTTCTTCTACTCAAAAGCTTATACATTGTGGTGTACCTCAAGGATCAATATTAGGTCCATTGTTTTTTATTCTATATGTAAATGATCTCCCTAATGCCTCACAATTGGCAAGGCCTCTATTATTTGCAGATGATACTAGCATATGTTACTCACATTCGGATCCTGCAGTGCTGGTCACAGTATTAAATGAAGCGATACAAAACATTGACTTATGGATGAAGACTATTAAATTGTCCGTTAATATTGATAAAACTAATTATGTTATTTTCCAATCTAAACAAGGGAGAGTTACACAAGATTTGTCCCTCTCAATTGATTACAAATTGATCACCCGAAAACAACAGGTCAAATTCCTTGGTGTCCTGCTGGATGAAAACCCTTCATGGAAACCTCATGTTAACTATGTGTGTAATAACATTTCCAAGTCAATAGGTGTAAATTTACCGGGCTCGTTTTAACTTGTCGTCTAGTACTAAACTATCGTCGTATTATACTTTAAATTACCCGTATCTTAACTATTGCAATATCATGCTTGTGATGTTACTCGGAGTGTATATCCACACCGGGAAAGCTTGAAAAATATGCCTGACCACGGTGGGAATCGAACCTACGACCTTTGGAATACTAGCCCAATGCTCTGCCAACTGAGCTACACGGTCAGATCGGTTCGAGTATGTGATATTTCGGAACAGAATCTAGTTCCTTCCATATCAATGTAGTCTAATAATCAGTATTGTGATATTTTCTATTAATTTCATTTCTAGTGGTCATTCCACAAGACATCCAGACTTCTACCCAAGAAACGGCACCTTGCTCTCTTTTCCAGTAGTGTCAAGTAACGAAGTAAATGTACTTCGTTACGGTGCTTGAGTACTATTTTTGAGAAGTCAGCTTGTAACAGAGTAAATTTTTTCTGAGCTACTTTTACGTTCCAAGAACGAAGTCGTTTTAAGCAGCTAGTAACGTGTTACATCGTTATTTTGATTTGGTGGCGAAGTATTCCGTTAACTCTTGTTTAATTTTACTAGATTTATTCCTGATTTATTTAACGCGTCTGGGACTGGCTCTCGTTTGTGGCTTACTTATAAGCATAACTTATTTAATGGATTTCTATAACTTCAACGGGGAAGGATCTGTAAAGTAGAACATGACGTGAAATATTGTATATTAGGTGAACTCATACCGCTAATTCAAAAAAGGTTGTCCTTATGCAAACCTTAAACTCTAATGGGAGCAAAAGCTTTGTAGTTGAATATTGCTGATATTTGTGAATGAATTGTTCTCGTAAGGAGATATTTACCATGTCTCTAAAAAATGGGCCCCATATGTGATTTCTAAACTGATTAAATGATGCTCCCATTATGCTTTGCCCGTTTAGAGTTTAAGGTTTATAGTTTAAGGTTTGCAAAGAACAACCTTTTTTGAATTAACTGTATATAACGCGTGTGCTGTTTTGTGTTTTTTTGTGTGTCAATCCATTGGAGAAGCCCCCCTCCCCCGACACGCTACAGACAATAGTATTTTTACTTTTACTTTTTACTTCACGTATTTTTTAAGGATACTAGGTTTGTACTTTTTACTTAAGTTCGTTTTGCCTCTAGTACTATTTACTCGTACTCAAGTCGTTTCATTGTTAATTACTTCTACTTTTAATGGATTACAAATTCAAAGTAATTTAGGCACCACTGCTCTTTTCGCATGTGACGTAGCAAGATGAACATGTCATATACAGTATGTACCAAGTGTTGGCCCAAATTTGACGAAACCTGCCAAAGCCAGCCAATTATACTGCCGAGATCAAGGCTGGGACAAAATAAACTGTCACGAATTGTGATCGGTGCAGAGATCATCGCAACAAGCATGCGAATTGATTCTTGCGATCAATGGATAAGAGGCTTAAGATCCCTTTGAAGATAAATTATCAGTCTGTACAGTAATTAAAGAATAACAATGAATTATTACTTTGTACAATCAATCTGTACATATTTTATTATCGGAACGGGTTTTTTCTATGAACGTCCACCTGCATGCAAATAAAATATTGCCTGGTCTAGAAAATAAAAGTTATAAGAAAATACAGGAAAGTGTACGAATTTCAAAACAATACTACGAATTAGTATTTTTATAATAATTATCAAGACATGCACTTTATACTACCTGAATCGTTTGTCTTCTTTGATTAAGAAGTCAGTGATTTGATTATTGATCTCAATTTGATGACAGTTCATTTCCCTGTGTTAGACAAAAGTTATTAATTTAATATCGAGAAATCAAACATCTTTCAACTGAGTGATATCGAATGATTTATCAAACCGCTTATGTTATTATATATTAGTTGCGCCTAAAATTAAATGAGTTTTTAAATTAAACGCGTAGAGCACCTGCAGTTATTACAAAAGCAGTTATAGAGTCTTTGTTGCATAGAAAACATTGGTAAAACCGTTTATTTGAATCTCAAGAGAGAAAGATAAATTTAGAAGATAAAACGAACAAATACGTAATGTATTTAAATATCAGCGGACCAACGAAAAGCTTCACATCAAAGCCAAACGAAGAAATGCAATCGAGCAACTACATTCTTGGATCATTCCTAAGTTTGGTTATATTATCTGGTGTATGTGGGAATATTCTGGTCGTATATTCCATCTTGAAGGAACAACGATTACTCAAAAGCAACTATTATTATCTCGTTTTAAATTTAGCAGTCGTCGATGGCCTTCACCTCCTGACTGCTCTACGGTTAAACTACACCAATTGGTTCAATGCATGGCCTCTTACTGAAACAGCTGCTTGTAAAATTTGGCTTTATTTTGAGATGCTCCTTTGCAATTGTGGAGTACAACTTATGGCTATTATTTGTATTATTCGTTATCGTGCAGTTTTGCAGCCTTTAAAACCCCCGATTTCTCGAAGAAAGTTAACGTTGTTCCCATTATTCCTGTTTATTACCATAAGCATTTATCTCACTCCTTATATTGTAGCTTTTGAGCACAGTCCATTGAAAGGATGCTATCAGGAATGGTCCAACAAAATATTAAGACTCATTTATACTTCGTTTACTATGAATGTTCACTTCCTCTTGCCGGTTACACTCATGTCCGTGTTGTACTATAAAATATGTCGAGCTTTAATATCACAAGCAAACAAGATGAACGCTATGCTACAAGCCGAAATTGTTCCCGGAATTCAGAACTCACAGAGCGGGACCCAGGAACATTTCCAAAGAATTCGGCACCACCGCAATACCAAAACATTCCTTGTAAGTGCTGTAAGCGTTGGGATTTTTACAATAACGTTGATACCTTTTGAAATATGGTGGATTTCTGATGCGAATGATTTTGGAATTTTGAAAAGCGACTACGCGGGTTGGTTTTATCTTTCGTACATGATTGGCTCGTCCTGTGTTAATCCATTTATCTATGGAATGCTGGACAAAAAACTTGTGGAGGGTTTTAAACGCCGAGTAACGAAAAAGAAACAACTAGTAGGATTGGAGTCTGGTCGATTTGTAATAAATAGAGTAAGACCTGCTTAAAAAAACGAGCTGATAGAGCAATACCTACCTGAAATTAAGACAAATATAAACACTAGAACCCGGCAGGCTGACAAATGTCAGAGTAATGATTCTTAAAATATAATAAGCTTCATTCAATTTTGACTGAGGTGGAAAGCAAGTGAAGTAGGATTATAAGCAGGACGATATAAGTAATACAAATATTGTTTATAGCAAATAGATCGACAATGAGAAATAATTATGTTGGCACACTAGTTTATATTAAAATTATAGAAGCAATAATAAAAAGTAATTGAAGTTGTTTTATCCTGTCAAATTTTCAACCTCACGTCACTCTCGGAGTGTGTTGGTACTCCAAGCCACTATCGGAATGGTACGCCTGGTGAGAGAGCTTTTTCTGGGTGACCATGCTGTCGGGTTGACCAAGTCCATCAATCACCGCTGGCGCATGGCTACTCCACGTTATATGTATTCAATATTTGTACCAATTGGACGGTTTGTTGCATCAATTCATCCTTATTGTTTGACCCATTTTCACTTTTTCACCCTGTGATATATAGGTCAAAACAACAAATGGGCTAATTTTCATCAATTTCTTTACTTGTGAATGAAGCTGGTTCGGATGTTCTTTGAACGGCTCTGATTGTTCTTTATACCAATAAATCCTTAACACCTTATGATTTACAATTATATTATATAATATAACATATACCGCGACAGAGCTAGCGCTAAAGGAAGAGGGGGTGGGGGCGTGAAACACCTCCCAGACATCATGTAGTCGGCAAATTATTGAATTACAGTCGGCAAATCATGGATTTGGACAGAAAAAAAAATTTGAGTGGCACCGATTAAAAATTAAGAATGATAGCTAAAATGTAGACTAGGAAACGTACGGAAAAATATGGAAAAATGAAACGAACCACGGTGGCTAAACATAAAATAAGATAGGATTCTACGTTAAGCCGTCACGATCTTCCCCCCTTAAATTGCACACAAAAAATGTCATTTAAAATTACAAAAATATCAATTTTTCATATCAATTCATATGTTAGGTATGTTATTATACTATAATGTAAGCTTCAATTTTTATGTAAATTTAATAACAAACGGTTCGGAAAACGTTGTGAAATGCTCGGCCGATAATTGTCTTGGTGATGTAAATTATCGAGTGGAAATTTATATACATTTGGGGAACTAAAATTTTTTGCTGCTGTTCCTGTTTAGGTCTAGTAAATGTATATAAATTTTAACTAGATAACATCATTCTGCATGCAAGACACTTCAACTACTATTTAATCGAGTAAGATGCAAACGAAATCATGATAAAATGTTGATATAAATGTACTGTCTTTTGCAATTTATTCATTTTCCCTTGCTAAACATGCTTATTTCACTCCTGAAATTCGTCATACTTTTAAGATCAGTTCGAGGAGGTCCATCCAATGAACTATAAGTAAACTGGAACGATAACTCCTCCAAACAAAAACTCCAGAAACTCGATCCAAAACAGATCGGAGCAATTCCCGGCTCCTCTTCAGTTGATGCCTTAATTAGCTTACTCCACTCCCTATACGCTGACTCAGATGGAAATGGTATAACTGTGCGTTTATTCCTACTGGACTTCAGCAAGGCTTTCGATCGGATTAATTATCCCCGAGCCGGCGGCGCGAAGCGCCGTGCGAGGGTACTAATTTCCCCCGGCTATTTACACCCGGGGAAACTAAAGCATTAGCGGAGTCTAAAGTTCATCAAATATCGCGGGCGTGGGTCACCAACGATGGGTGGTCATCCTCACTGACCTCAAAAATATGGCGGACTGTCATGAATAGCGGACACTGATTGGTCCAATTTAAAGTTTGCATAAACGACTGCATCACGTCAGCGAAATAGCAAATATTTCTTGATTTGATGATTCATGATTGATAAATTTCTTGCGAATATATTTCATTTTTACTCGCATTTTTGCAATATTTTGTAAATTTCAAAAGCTCTCGGAGAAAAAAACTTCGAAAGAATCGGCTAAAAGAAGGGAGCCGACGTTAACGAAGGTAAGTTTGTTTTAAATATTGATTTTATAATGGCTTTAAAACCCAACGGCCTTTGCGTATATGCAACAACTAAACAAGACAGAATATAATTTCAGTGTATCTTTAATATTTATTCCCTTTTGTATTATATTGAATTTTTTAAATGAAAAAGAAAGCAAAGTTATTTGCAAGCGAGAATTTGAAATCATTTTATTGCAAACTCAAAGTTTATCGATAAACCATTTTAATAATTAAAGGTAGTCAAGTTAAAGAGCACTTTAAAACGTTTTGCGAAGCGTTTGTTGTTGAATTTTACCTTAAATTGAGGCTTATATTACGTATAATAACATACCTAAGATATATATGTTGGGAAATTAATGATTTTGTAATTAAAAGTGATATTTTTAGGCGATTTCTCATTTGTAAGAATATTCTTAAAAAAATATCGTGTTATGTATCGATCAATTCGAAACTTCGCCATCCCCCCCCCCCCGGGCCGACCCCGGGAATTTGAACTTTTTGAAATTTGACTGATCAAATTCTCCACCCTCTGTGCCAAAAATCTCTTCAAATGCCCCACTGTAACAAGAAATTAAGCGTTCAAATGCCCCACCTTCATATGAAAATTATGAAACAGTAAATACAAAAAGTACAAAATATACGGAAATGTTTTCGACAAGATAGCGAAATTCGCGTAAACAGTTTGAATACCTTGTGGAAATTTAACAGTTTTACACAGTTATGTAGTACATACCTTCAAATGAAACACATAGGTTTTCCATGCCCGTTTCTTTGAGCCAGTTTTTTCACAAAATTGAGGCCGTTTCCCTCGAAATCTGTGAAAACTGTATTTGCCGCCAATACGAAGTATTTTCTGTGCATGCAGAAAGCACGCGAAAACGGGCAACATTTTAAGACTTCCGGTTCAAATTCCCCACCCCGTTATCAAATGCCCCACCACATGGAAGACTTAGAACGTCAAATTCCCTACTCCCTGGAGAAGACTTGAAGTCAAATTCCCGGGGTATGCCCGGGGGGGGGGATGGTGAAGTTTCGAATTGATCGATACATTACCATGACAACTATTTTAGAACTTCATGTTCGGAACATACAATGGTTTTGTCAGCAAGGCGAGGGTTTCTGCATGCATGTATTTTCTAGTAAGATACTAATCACAAAGATGCGCAAATTGGATATAAACCCATCCGTTATCAATTGGGTAATTGACTTTTTGTCCGGAAGGAGACAGCGGATTAAATTGGGTAACGTATTTTCAGATAGGTCTGCAGTAAACGGTGGGGTACCCCAAGGAACAGTGCTCGGTCCTATACTCTTCTTAATTATGATAAATGACTTGGTTACTGAGCATGATCGAAGGTGGAAATTTGTGGATAATACAAGTGTCTCTGAAGTTATTAATAAAGGTGAGCAAGGGAAGATGCAATCCCTTGTTAATCCCTTGTTAATCCCTTGTTAATTAATATTGTTTTCCAGTTCATATCAACGTATCCCTAATTTTCTCAAATAGTTCTATTTTATATGTCAGAAAAATTCACAATTGAAGCTGGGAGCAGAATTAGATCATTTCAAAGACAAAAACTTATTCAAGTCAAGACAAGGGCTTATCGAAGACAAAGCAAGGCAAAGGCTACGCACCTAGTATTGCAGTATTCTGAATAATTAGAATAATAAGAAACTGCATGGATATTCGTATCTCTGAGACCCCGTTTACATGAGAGCGGAACGAAGTCATACTGTGACCATTTCGTTTCGTTCATAGTCCCCGAGCCGGCGGCGCGAAGCGCCGTGCGAGGGTACTAATTCCCCCCGGCTATTTACACCCGGGGAAACGAAAGCATTAGGGAAGTCTAAAGTTCATCAATGAGCGCGGGCGTCGGTCACCAACGATGGGTGGTCATCCTCACTGATCTCAAAAATATGGCGGACTGTCATGAATAACGGACACTGATTGGACCAATTTAAAGTTTGCATTATAACGGCTGCATGACGACAGCGAAATAGCAAACATTTCTTGATTTGATGAGTTGATGATTGATAAATTTCTTGCAAATATTCTTCATTTTTGCTCGTATTTCTGCAAGATTTTGTAAATTTCAAGGAAAGAAAGGGCAAAAGAATCAGCTAAAAGTAGGGAGCCGACGTTAACGAAGGTAAGTTTGTTTTAAATATTGATTTTATAATGGCTTTAAAACCCGACGGCCTTTGCGTATGAAACAACTAAACAAGACAGCATATAATTTCAGTGTATCTTTAATATTGATTCCCTTTTTTATTATATTGAATTTTTTAAATAAAAAATAAAGCAAAGTTATTTGCAAGCGAGAATTTGAAATCATTTTATTGCAAACTCAAAGTTTATCGATAAAGCCATTTAATAGTTAAAGGCAGTTTAGTTTTATAAAGAACACTTTAAAACGTTTTGTGAATTGTTTGTGGTTGAATTTTACCTTAAATTGAAGCTTGTATTACGTATAATTACATACCTAACATAAATATGTTGGGAAATTAATAATTTTGTAATTAAAAGTGATATTTTTAGGCGATTTTCATTTGTAAGAATATTCTTAAAAAATTATCGTGTTACCATGACAACTACTTTAGATACTTCATGTTCGGAAAATACAACGGTTTTGTCAGCAAGGCGAGGGTTTCTGCATGCATGTATTTTCTAGTATTATCTATAATGGATGTTTACATGAGACCGGGACGATAATAACTCAAACCTGTCTCAAGTCATTCCGCCTGCTAGACCGAACCGACTGACTTATAGGCCGGGATAAATTCAGACCAGGGTTAATGTAAACACAAATAGATTTCAGACCGGTCTCGGCTGTAACCTCGACAGTGCAACAACACATGCTAACAAAAGCCACCTCAAAAAGAAAATTTAAATTGAAAATCTTGATTAAATTGAAAATTTTGTGATTTTCGTACCGGTCTCATGTAAACATGCATATGTTGACAATTTCAATTTTATCCCGGTTTGACTTCGTCCCGGTCTCATGTAAACCGGGCCTAAGGATGGTTCTGAAATAGTATTTTAGGACTCAGGCATTTAAATAATAACAATTACTATAAGGTGAATTTCTAATAATCACTTCGTTTAAGCCTAGTTTCCATTTGGTCGTTAGTTGTCGCTAGCACGACAAGTGGCTGATGTAATAGTGCGTCTGACTCAACAAAACTTTATAAAACTCTGAAATCATTAAGACTGATTTGCATATAACACACAAAAAGACTATTGATATTAGACTATTTCACATTTACCGCTTGTCGTGCCAGCGACAACTAACGACCAAATGGAAACTACAATCTTGGCAAAAAGTTCATGAAACACCTATAAAAAATCAATAAAACAGACAAAATCCCCCTGCACAATGTTGGACATGTTTAGAAAATCAATAATGTTTTAATATCACTTCCGACACCTACAGAACGTGCATGTAGCCTGGAACATGGTCCAATACCACGATACGATACGAATGGTAAATTTCATAAATCTACCATCTACCATCGGTATTGTTGTCGATTTGTGTCTATTGTACAGTGCATCCATACCAGTGGTACCAGTGGTAAGATATGGTTACGGATCGTGAAAGTACGTTTACCATCCGTAAACCAAGGGCCATGGCAGTTAGGGTACCCTTCAAAATCATGTCGAGTGGTACCAGTGGTAAGATATGGTTACGGATCGTGAAAGTAAGTTTACCATCCGTAAACCAAGGGCCATGGCAGTTGGGGTACCCTTCTAAATCATGTCGAGTGGTACCAGTGGTACCAGTGGTAAGATATGGTTACGGATGGTGAAAGTAAGTTTACCATCGGTAAACCAAGGGCCATGGCAGTTGGGGTACCCTTCAAAATTATGTCGAGTGGTACCAGTGGTACCAGTGGTAAGATTGAATTGAATTGATTGAATTGATTTAATGACTACTGACTTTGTAACCCAAAAAGGTTAAATTACACCAGTATTACATAAATTAAGAGGATAAGTTAAAATTACATAATAA